TAACAAAAAGATAACTTTGATATTATATTATTAGAATATAAAACTAACAGGTTGCTCCAATTTCACTCATTTGGTTGTTAAGATGTTTTAGTCGTGTCATGCGTCTTTGAAATGTTAACCTATTTAAGAATCTCTTATCTATGCTTACTTTTAACGACCTAGAAATATTCTACTGATATTAACATGCCTTTTTTCGTCTTGTGTGATTTAGAAGAGTCTTATCAACTTCTGTGAATGATGAATCATATGGGAGACGTGAAAATAAAAAGTAACTGAGAAAGTTGAAATCGTCCCTGTAGGGAGAAAAAGGAAACATACCCAAACAAACAAGAGTGAATGACCATCCTCTTTGTTTTGTTGACATGGTGCCCCCTTTGCCCTTTCCCTTCATTGGGTCCACCACATTGTTTCCTTCCAAGCACCTACCCATCAACATTGCAAGGGAATAAAAACCAAATTCCACCCTAAAATTTCTATATCAAAACCCAACAACATGTAAAGAACAAAATTTTATATTTCAAATGAATGTGATGATATTTCCTCTCTAAGGCACCCAATATAGGACCCCCAATGAGTGGATAGTTTAGTCGGATCTAATCTCTTCTTTTTTAGCGATCGATAAATTGTACGTACGTATTTAGTAAATGATCCTCTAGTATTTTTAAACAGATTTTAAATATATTTATAGTTGTGGTTTTACAGTATAGTCATATATGATCGTAGAATCAATTAATTGTGTGATACAAACTAAGTAAATGTATCCCTTCTATCAATGGAACCGTATATTCTTAAATTTTTAAAACATAAGAGTATGGTTTTGTAAAACAATTAAATAACATGTATTTTTATATATCTCGATTTTTCATTTTGTTTATTGAAATTATATATATAAACATATAGTCATGCAATTCATTTATATATGAAATATTTCTATGCATGTCGAAAAACTTGTTAGACGACAGTTGAGTAAGTTCTAAGTTATAGTCCAACAATCAATAACAACCAAATTTTGAATCTTCAACTATAGTAGTTAAACTCTCGTTGGGAAATGTTAATTTCTTTTATATATAATTTTTCGATTTTAAATTTCACATTCTTATCTTTTGAAAATGTGTATTACAAGGAGGGGATTAAAATAATATAATTATTTGAAAATAGAAATCTAAAAAATATTACAAATAATAAAAATGATGGGAGATTAAAGTCGTGAATGAGAGGACAAAGAAGGGAGGGACATGTGGAAGGAGTATGACGTGTGACGTTGTTATTGGTGGAATCTTTATTAGCACTGAAACCAAAATAAGAGCGACAAGATCATATGGCTCGCACTGCAAAACCAGTCTAGTGGGCACACGGTTTTTCAAATAATGTACGTACGATTTTTTGGGCAAAATCACCTACGCTCGGCACTACAGTTTACTGTAAAATCATCTCTCTTTTTTTTCACCACCGGTAACTAATTTTAATCTTAAAAACTTTTAATTTTATCTCGTTTAAGATTTTAAAACTCTGGCGAGAGAAAAAGCTTAACAGAGCATAGTTGTTTTAAATATTAAATTATATATTTTTCCATATTTTTTGCATTAAGTCTAATATATCTCTATATTTTGAGTTGTTCTACATATTATATATAAAAGAATGTGTACTCATTCTACAAAATTATAACATTCATCGCGGTTTTAAAATAGTGGGTTTTTTTGCTAGCAAAAGTTTTAGGGCATATACGTTATTGTACTACCAGATCTATTTGTGAATTTTTATAAGCATGATACTATGAATTACTACCAATTTCAAAATTGGGAACTCGAGCCCCTAAACACGACGTAGGAATGAGATCAGATGATGCAGGAGTTATATGGATTTGAGAGATTGATTGTGCAAATAATCATTGTAATTACTTGTCAGTTATTGTAATAGGAAGAGATCGGTATAAAATGGAAACTTATGATTTAAATCATAAGCTTCGAAAACCCGAGAATCAAACAGATAAAAAGAATTTCTCACTAAAAAGAAAAATAATTCAAGAATAAAAGAAAAAGTGTAGCAAACATTAAAAGAGATGATCAAAACTATTACGACTAAATTACCTACTTATTCATCTCTACTCCATTTCTACTTCATTAATTCACTGGAAATTATATTACTTTACTTTATCTCATTTTCTTTTTAGGTTTAAAATGTTAATATCAATGGAAATATTGACATCTCAATTTTATGAGAATATCGATAAAATGACGTCAACAAATATTTCTTAAAAAAATTCAAAATAAAAATTCATAATGAAATTAACACTAAGCATTTTACCATTTTTAAATAAGTTATAAATTATTAATATTAATTATATGTCCATATTAATAATATTTTGTTGATATTGTTATATTTGTCCATGTTTTTTTTTCTTTACAATATTATGAAAATTTTGAACTCATATATATATATGAAAATTTCTGACACGTTAGACTGAAATTTTACTCCCTAGTTTGCACATTATAAGCTAGCATCAATGACATGAACTTAGAAAACATATATACAACTCAAAATTTATGGGTCAAAGCGAATGATAATTGACATATTTTCCCACCCTAGAAATTGTGAGTTCGAATCCCCACTTCGACATAAAAACACTCAAAAATTAGGGATGAATTTATTTTATTTTTATTTTTTGAAAAGGTCCTTTTTATTTCTTGAAAAGGTCTTATTAGACCAATGCTGAAAGTATAATGATATTAAAAAAAATCGTTGTACACAGTCGCCTAAAAATTTAAAAACAAATTCAAGTACAAAGAAGCCTAGGATTCCACTGAAATTAGGCCACTTAATAAATGCAATGCACAATCTTAATTTGACCATATTTCTTTTTCAAAGTCATTTTGGATTTTACACAAATCAACCCTTTTCTTTTTCTTGCCCTTTTTTAAAAGAAAAAACCATATTTTTTATAAGGACAGACTCACACACTTCCCAATTTCCATTCCCAAAATTATTTTAGGTAAAAAAAGGTTGATTCAATTGACATTTCATCTCAACAGTAAACTAAAAGAGGACCTAATTTTATTAAGGCATACAGCTAAATTAACAAAGACAGCTCTACTTTTGCCACTATGCACTTTTTATTTTAATTTGTAAAAGTACACCCAAAATATAACATGTCTAAATCTTCAGCCTTTTGTATCAACAATCATGTGAATTGTGATGGCCCATTTCTTAGATCTCATTCTCTCTTTAAATCATAATTCCATATATATACATACTCAATAATATGAGGAAAAAATCTTTATCACTGTTGTTGACTTGATGACCCTAATTAACCCACTCATTTTATCTCTTTGACAATTAAGTTTACATATCAACAATTGATCTACATGTCGGAATTGAACTGGAGATTCGAACCTCTAACTTTTCGATATATGTCTTACGTTTGATATGATTATTTTCAAATTTTGTCGATTGACTAACCAACTGATTTTTTCTAGTACGACAAATATGAGATATAGGAATTTAAATATTCGACCTCAAGAGAAGAGTATATCACTGAATTATGCCATGTTGGCACATAAATAAAATTGACATAAACCCTATAGTTTTAGACAAAATAGATGTAGTAAATTCAAGCTCTTCCTCTCTATCCAATAGCTTCCTTGTTCACACTGCCAATTTGGCCAACAGATGGGCAGCTCCATTCCTTGCTTTTTTGCACATGGAGATACTCTTTCATGTTGCTATATTGTTGGACAGTTTATAATGCCATATATTTATGTTATGTTAACAAGTTTTTTTTCTAAGATATACTATATATGTAATCTAGTTAGGAATTACAACAACTTGGAACTAATAATAATAATTTGGACAAATCAATGAATAAGGGATTACATTGTCCGCTTTGAACATAATCCCCACGACTTTGCTTTTGAGATCTCTCTCTACTTGAATGTTGAAAAGAAAAATTACAATTTGTACACTAATGGTAAATTTCAAACACATCAAAGAAAACATGAAAAAAGAAAGCTATTCCTATTTTCTTTTAAAACTTCCTGTAGAAGTATTTTCTAAACATGGCTTAATAAAATGAATGTCCAGCCAATCGATTAAGATCTACAATTTGTTTTGAGACCTCAAAGAAATAATTCGGAATGCAAAAAAATTAGAATATCAATTTAAATGAAAGAAATCCAAGTCACTCTTCCAGCTAAACTTACCAATGTGACAATATTTTGAGCATAAATTGGATTAGCAATGCCATCAAACTAATGATACCTCTGACCCAGCTTGTTTATTGGGTTAAAAAGAGGCTTGCATTAAAGCCAATAATAATCTCACTTTTTGATCCCATTCCACTAGCACCAAAACAGTGCCCTGCCAACAAAGTTTCAGAAACCCCAACTTATTCACATCCAAATTGACAATGACAATTCAGACGTAGAGAAAGGAAAATTTTCTTTTACTTTTTCTCGATTCCCAAACAGAGGTTAAAGATAATATACAAGCCATACCTACTTCAGAGTAAACTTTTTTTTTTTTGTTCCAAGTTTAAAAATGAACACTTAAGTCGTGGAAAATAACATGCTAATTAGACTTCGATGGCAGGACAAATTTATATTAGGGAGCAAAAATATATTAATAATTATTGTTGTTGAATGAATTCCTGACGTGGCTATCTCCTTCATCTCCCTCCCTCCTTTCTCTTTTTTCCTTCCTATTCTCTCCTCCAACAAACATTGCCACCCGCTCTCTGGGAGAACTAGATTTGGGACGAAAGTATCAGTTCCAAATCCATAAGACACAAAGGTGACTAGGAGCAGAACCTGTTGTGCACAACAGGGGCAAGCAATGACAACGTTTGCCGAAGACGAGGAATGAGATAGCCACGTCAACGATCCAACAAAAATAACATAAAATATATTTTTGCTACATCATCAAAGTCAAAGTCCACTATGCTAGTCTCTAAAACATATTCATTTTGAAACTTTAGATAGTCGCAAACTTAAACCTGAGAGAGCAAGTAAATCCAGAAACCAAAACTTACGCACATTGAAATTGACGATGACAATTCAAGGTCAGAAAAAAAGAAAAATTTTCCTTTCCTTTTTCTCATCTTCCAACCAAAAGTTACAGAAAATGCAAAAAAGATATACAAATCTTAACCGTTGGAGTAAAATTTTTTCCATCAATTTCCAAACAAATTAAATATTTTCCGATCTGCTCTGAGACAAGAAGAGCCAGCAGCGCGTGATTGCAGAGTAACCGACCAGGCTGAGAAAGCATGCACAATATATAGTATAGCATTCTCGGGCAGAGGAAGCATAATAGATAGGGGCTAATTACAATCAGATGAACTTTTTTTCTTTCCATGTTTCTTAATTAGTAGAAGGGAATGAGAGAACATATGTATAGACATATATATCTGATATTTGAAAGCAGAGTTTGGCACAAACCATGGACATAGCCGGAAGCATATGCTGAGACGTTTGGCTTGGCAGCTTATATGCTATGATCAGCTGAAATATGGTCCAGAATCCTAAAGTTGCTGCCAATTTTGGGCCTCCACTCTGTTCTTCCTCTCACAATCTCAGCCCCATTCTCGAATCGAAGCAAGTGACTGCACTCGACATCGCCAGCAGTTGCCAAAGTGCCAACATCCGTGCCAGTGACAGCGGTTAGGGACTGAATCACACTRTCCTTCCCGCATTCCCTCCGGTACTCCAAAGTGATGGAAGAAAGTTCGTGACTCTCTAAAATTGGCGGTGGAGCACTCTTTTGACCACAAGTTTAGAGATAACCAAGCTTTAGAAGAATAGTTGCAGCAAAAAAAATTTGGAGAAATATACTAGAGAAGATAAAAATACAAATGTGAAAAAGATAAACATTAATTTTGCCCACGGTAATAGATGAGAGGAAACTACGGATCATAGTAACTCAAAAGCCAAAGATAAAGAAATGTTAGTTAATCTACCTCAAGGATCCAGCCAATGTACTTCACATTATTAACATGCTGGTTGACATCTAAATCACTCCATTTTGGCTGCAGGTTAGAAATGAAAGTACCATGAGATGCAACTTCTAAGCAGATATAAGAACCACAAAAATTATAATTGAACCAAATGATAAGCATAACAACCAAACCCGCAGAATCATCCAGTGACACCTTTATTTTCTCAAACGTTTTAAAGCGAAAATGAAATAACTTACGGTCAAACCCATTCGAGCATTATCAGCTGTATCATCATCAACTTTTGAAAGTTTCCTGCCATCTTCCTCAATAACAGGAGGAGAATTCATAAAATAAGGCTCTATTTCTCTTCTCACTTCCTCAGGAATCTTTGACAACTTTCTTGTCTGTTTATTCATCATAACCCAGATACTTCATATTGCAAAGAGAAACTATATCAGTCAAATATGGTCAATAAATATGTTGTGACTTATAATAGAAAAAAGATTGCATGATCCACAACAGGTACGGGGAAAAAGGAAACCATATATTTCATCAGAAAAGGGGGAAACCTACCTGGAAGCTCTAGTCAAAGTGTCCCCAGTTTTGCAATCATACACAAGCCAATCTCGGCGCATACCATTCTTTCCCGAAGCACTGACCCAAGTGTCTACTTGAACAGCATCACCCCTATAAGCATAACAATCTCCAACATCTCATCCATGTAGTCAATAAAAGACATAAACAGAGGTCAGCTAGAACAGAAGGCACACAACTTGCCAGGCTTCAAGAATTTCAACATCAAAAAGAAAAAAGAAAAAAAAAAATTGGATAAGAAACCTTTTATAGAACATCAAAAAGAAAAATGTAAATCAAAGACCACTTCAGTGACTTGTTGAATTGTGAAAAGTCAAATATTTTTTTTATTACTTATTGTTGGAAGTGGGTAAATTTGAGGTGGATAGGTTATGTAGTTGCAACAAACAGTGTAAATACCACAAAAGTAACTTCAGGGGATAAGACAGAAAATGTAAAGTATTGAATTAAATTAAATAATGATCTCATTCTGCAAAGTAGAATCATAGGTGTTATAATGAATTCCTCTTTAAAAGAGTTTACCAAGTAGGGTAACGGTCTACCATAATCTGCATCTTGGTAACTACCCATATCAGGTTCTTTTTGCACATTTCTGGCGTAGAACCAAATCCATCACCTAGTAGCCCGGCAGTCTTAACATGATTAAGGGCAGTTTCCTGCAGTCAAATCCATAGAGTGGAAGGACTTAACTCAGTTTCATAAGCATACATAGTATTACAACTCATAGTTATTCACAGTAACAAAAGAATCCACCTCCAAAATCTTATAGTACCTGTAAATGATTCATTAAAGTCTCTATAGAAGCTGTACGATCAGCACCTATTTCGTATGATCTAATAGAGAAATTCTGGGTAAACACAAGACCATCCTGAACAATCCTTCCTAAACCAAATGGATCCATAAGCATGTCAGGCCGCCTAGGTTTCCAGTCGAGCATCATCCATTGCTTCTCCGCAGCTAAAAAGATAGTGGTAATAGCAGCAAGAAGCATGCTCCAATCAGGCAGCTGGTTAATAAAAGTTCGTGGGTGAGATGATGAGAGGTCATCCCCAGCCTTGACACCACCTACCGGTGTTGACAAACCAGCGGAACTTCCATTTATTTTGGGAGGGGCTTGGGCATTTGTCTTCACCTGAAGACTTCCAGAAGACAAAGGTTTTGACTTGATCCCCCCCAAATTCCCAGAGCCACCTCCAATTTTGGTGTTCTTTGCTCCAGAGTCAGAAGATGGAGAAGCAGTAGGATAAAATGCGGACGTAGCAGCAGTTGCTACCATTGTGAACTTCAAACAACAAAATCAGACATTTCAGTAACCAATAAATAGCTTGCACGCAATATTCACTGCTTATCAATGAAAGATTAAAAACAACAGAACCGAATTGCAGATCTTCAGCTTCAGTGTAATATAACATACAGAAAATATACCAAGTGAAAATAGCACCTAATCAGAAAAATTGAAGTGTAACAAAATACAGGACCAATTAAAAGTCCTTATGATTGAAAGATCCAGAAAATGGGCCAATTGCAAGAAGACTACATAAATGAACCGTGCCCTAAATTTGTAAACCTACTCTGTACAACTAATTTACCAAAGAAGGCAAATAAAAGCAGAAAAAAGTCATTCCAAGTGAAGAATAGTACAAAAGTTACTAGAACGAACAAAGACATGAAATAAATCATTTCATCAGAACCATGTGAGAATCTTACAGTGACTTATAAATGTAACTTCACTCTAGAGAAAATAAACTATACCTAAATACGTCGACAATAATTAAATAGTTTCAGTTGCAGCAAAAGTACGCCAGAAAAGGTTTGGAGCAGATGTTGAAAACAAAATTTTAAACCACAACACGATCATAGCCAAGAATTCCAATACACTCGTACCATCCCACTTCGCCCACTAATCCCGCGAAAAATACAACGAATACAAAGTAAATCAGCGACGAATGAAGACAAAATGAACAGATATTGCCGAAAATGAAGACACAGCGAGAACAAATTCAACTAAAAAACCAAAAGAAAAAACAACAGAAACATCACAATTCCAGAATATATCCAGTTCCATGACGACATTACTCAAAACCAAATGAACGCTACGCCACATCCTTGCATTTTATCATCCAAACAATAGAAGAAGATGCGAGTCCGTACCTGGAACAAGACGAGCAAATACTCAAAGCGATGCTCGTAACGGTGGCGGTGGAATCCAAACCAAATCCACAGCAACGCAACGCAACAAAAGAATGCAGGAAAACGACTACTGCAACATCCCGGATCCGCAAACAAACCGCTCTCCGTCGTCGATTTTAGGGTTTGCGATCGTTTTGGTCTCCGCGTGCTCCGCCGCTTTTCCCTCTTTTGAGGAGCTCCGATATTCGTTTTCCGAAAAGCAAAAATACGATTCCAGAGAGATGGTGTGTGCGACCGTATTGGCTGAGCCCAGGTCCCGCGACTTGATATATAGCAACCACCTGTCCTGGTCCCGCCCCGCCATTCTTTCAAATTTCCGAATTCGGCCACCTAGTTTCTCTTATTTACCATTTTGCCCCCCTCCTTCGTCCTTTTCCTTCAACGTTCCTTCCCGCATCCTCCAGCTCCCATCCTTCATTATTATTATTATTATTGCGCTCGCATTTATCGTTGCAAATTCCAAATTGGAAACATTTCTCTCTTTCCACGTATACCTATACTAGTAACGTACAATATTCACATAAATATATTTCTAACGTAAATACAAATAATTACCATTTATGACTAATTTAACCCATCAAATAAATTACAAATTTAGTTGGGTCAACTTTTATGTTCTTATCTAATATCTCTCAGGTAAAATATATTTTTGGTCTTTTGTTTTTTATTTGATCTTTAAAATTTAAATTTAATTTCTATTTGATCCTTGATATTTAACTTTTGAGCATTGAAGAAGTTCTTAAACTTCAGGGTGTCTAATAGATTTTTGAACTTTTAATTTTAGGCCTAATAGCATATTTGGTATTTTTAAATTAATCGATATGAATTGTATTACTCTTCAACATCAACACACACAGTGAGAGAAATCTCTAAAGAAGTTTGGACCCTGTTCAATGAGAAATTTCAACTAATTACTAAATGTCACGTCACAAAATTAAAATTACATTTAGGACTAACGATAAAATTACACGTATCCTAAATCAATTTTATAATCGACGAATCTAATCATGTCACGTGTCTCTCCTATAGCCGTCCGATGAAATCAACTAATTGATCAAAACCCATAAAGAGATTGGGCCCAAACCCACGGCCCATAAAAGTCCATGGCCCATACAAGACCCACCAAACTCTATAAATAGAGGGTCACCTATCATTTTCAATAGAAAGAGTTTTCTCTTAAATTTAATTATGATGCAACGTGGTTTGATGTTAGAAATCTGAGTGGCCTTGAATTGATTCTTCGTGATTCAAATGGAGGTGAACAATTGTGTGAGAATCAAGAGAACAAAAGGAGTTGGGAAGCAATAGTGATACTCTCCAGCCTTAAAAATATTCAAAATCCAGAGGAAAAAGTTGTTTACGTCGAATCTAATCCATGACGGTGAAGAAAATGTTGAAGGATGAAGAAGCAAACATTACTAAAATTAAATTTGTTGGATTGTGGATGAAATTCGGGCTCTTATGCATCAGAAATCGGTGGTCTCCGTCTGATTTATCAAGCGAGAAGCAAATTTGCTAGGTGACGAAATTGCACAGCGGATGGGGAAGATTTTTGTTGGGGTCACGGTTCTTCGAAGATCCCCGGTTGCAAACTTCAGTTTATTTCAGTGAAGTTTCTTTTCGTTTCAAAAAAAAAAAATCTGAATTTTATTTCTAAAAATATTTTCAATTTTCAATTTTGTATCTAATAAATTCATGAATATTAAAAAATATCCATCAGGTCAATTACTCTATTACATAAAAAATTAAACCTATTAACACAAAATTTGTAAGTTTGTAACCTGTTAGACATTTTTTTTAAGTTTAGATATTTATTATACATTTTTTTAAATTTTGGGTTGAGGAATCTATTTCACACAAATTTAAAATTTCATATACTAAACATATAATTTAACTAAAGAATATTTATTCATCAATTTTTTTTATTAACTTTCTTCTTTTCACCATTCTTGTAAAAATATTTAATATCTTCTCAACAATTCTATAAAAGTATTTTTTTTTTCGAAACACTATAAAAGTACTTATGTGTGTTTGTGAATGGTGATTGGGATATTTTATTATAAATCCAATTTTGTGTCGTGCCATTTAATATCTTAAAAAATCTACTTTATGTAGTGTAACAATTTGGGCATTATTTCACAACTATTTTTTTTTATTTTATATTTTTAAAACTATCTGTATTTACTCACAATTTTTTTGGATATGCTTTGGAAAAATATATTTTAGTTCAAAGTCAAACTTAAAATTTAAAAAAAAAATTAAATATATATATATATATATATATATATATTATTTTTAAGTTTTCAAAAATTTTATTATTTTGAAAACATTTAAAAAACTAGATAATAAAATAATTAAACACATTAGTGTAAGTAGAGTTTATAAACTTAATTTTAAAAAAAACATAATATCGAACAAAAAAAAATAAACAATTAAGGTCGATTATTAAGTCAAGTGATGATTATAAGTTAATAGAGTGTAACCTACTCACGTGAAAGTTTAATAAGACGTGTCATGTTATCTTTTTCATTAATTTTTGGGCAAAAAATTTTAAGATGTAAAAAATATAATAATAATAAAAATAAAAAAGAAACATCCTTTGCCAATCAAGTATTTAAATCCTTAAAAGAAAACTTATTTCAAATAACATTTTTCGTTCTTTTGTTTGTAAGTGAGAATTCTTTATGATAAGTTTCAATTATTAGTAAAGTAATGGCCAAAACCAACCACTATTTTTAATTCATATAAAAAAAATACCTACTTCTTTCATTTTCGGAAGGAAACCATCAACTATTTTTATTAATTTATTATATTTTAATTATGTGTCTCCGACAGTTAGAAACTACTTTTATTTTTTTAGGCAAGAAACTACTTTTATTAAATCTGTATCATTAACATTATTAATTTTGAAATGCTGACGCAGCGTGTTCATTATCAATATAATTGTTTTACTGTAAACCACATTAGCTTAAATTTATCCTTCTAATTAGATATGCTCCACCAACGTTCTATTACTAATGTATACCATATAAGTTAAAAGAAATGTAACCCAAAATTTAGAGACACACTTAAAATATTTTAAACGTTAAAAATCACATTTTGTCCCTGTACTTTAACTAAAGTAACGATTTAGTCCCCAAACTTTCAAAAGTAACAATTTAATCCTTGAACTTTAAGATTAGTTACAATTTAGTCCTTGTCGTTAGGTATTAGGTTAAATTTAACAGAACTTTGAGATTGCTGTCATTTATGGGTCGGTTTAAGATTGGTTTGGTTTAATTTGGGTTGGTTTAAGAATTAAAAAGAAAGGAAAAAATTAAACCCCTTCCCCACCATTTTACACGCCTCTCTACAGAATTTCAGGAACTTTCTTGCCGAATTTCAGAGGGTCGGGAACGACAAAAAGAAAACTGAACAGGATCGAGAGTTCTTTCAAAGTGTAATGAGGACCGACTCGATTTTTCTTCCATCTTCACCATCTTCCTCTTCGACTCCACAGATGGAGCTTGTTTATGCAAAGATGTGCACAACAGTGTGTTCCAGATTGCAGCTCGAACTCGGCCTCCGGACCGACCTGAACGCTTGGGCGGACCTGCACAAAAAGGTGAGCACTCCGACGATCAAGTCAGTATGGGTCGGATTCCCAGTTTAGTTCGAGGCCAGAAATCATCGTACCTGATCGTGGAGTGAAGTCCTCT